ATATTTTTCACCATATAAGTTGCACCTTTTTGCATAAATTTGCAAGTCCTGCGACTTATACACAATGAAGCAATTAATATGTCACCCCCCCCCCCCCATATTTATAAACCAATTATTAGATCCAACGATTTCATGCATTCTGACACGAAAAATATTGAACACTACCATTTTCAGCCACTAGAGGGCCCTCGAGCATTATGGCAAGCCAAGTGTTTTGTTAACAGGTAAAAGTAGCTATTAATGAGACACTTGGCTTGCCATACCAAGCCACCTTCGTCTCACTGTCAAATCAGCTGCATTTCGCCGCGCTGCCCAGGTGAAATGCAGCTGATTTGACTGTTAAAGTGCATTTATTAAGGAAACGTTAGACTGAGACCAACCTTTGTTATAATTTTGAGCAAACAAATAATTGTTTTTAAGTGTTAATCTTGTTAAATTCTTGGTAAAGTCTTCCCGTGCACGCTCCCGTTGTCACCATTTTGCAGCCAATCGATTTTTGGCACAACACGGGCCCATGTTTCCGGGTGGTCAGCGGTGATGCATAATAAATGCGACTTACACGGTGAAGTGATGTATTTATCTTTTTTTCCACTTTATTAGACATTTTTGGACTGATGCGACTTATACGGCAGCAAGTACGGTAATTATAATAATCTTTGTTACAATTACAAATACTGAACAATGCTTATTAACAATCCTGTTTTTGGTATAATTAGCTTCTTTTTGATTTTTTTCTGCAAATACATCATTCAATCACATGAATTTAATAATACTATCAAACGTTATCACAATTTTTTTTTTGAGTTACACTATGATAATGAATTTATTCGTGACTCTTCTTTCTTTTGACCTAGAGCTAGTTTCAACAACTTCTTATATACCTTATCAGCTTAAATGAGTTGATCTTCAACTGATCATTTTTTACTCAATATTTTTTTTAACTTATTTATAGACATTTTTTGAGTTTCTGTTAGAGGATTTTTGGTCCAGGTTAATGGATGTTTTTTAATTACTATGGCTGAGAATGTTAACTGCCCATGAACCATGTGTTTGAGTTACCAGAGAGCTCTTTTTTCTTTCAGAGAGGGCTGGATGAGGAGCTGATTTATTCCTGCATGTGGAGCTGGGTGGCCAAGGTCATCAGTGTCTGCCTGTGAGCCGGGAGCTGATAAGATTATAAAAACCATTCTCGCACGCTGCCCATGGCAGATTCTCGTGACGGGGCTCCGTGCATGTATAATGTAACCGTTGTGAAAGTCTGCCTTTGCAAGTAAAACCTGTTAAAAATCTTATTGTGTTCTCGAGTGTGGCTTCTCCAAGTAAGTAACAGGAACTGAAGTTGTCCACCTTGATTTCTTTAAGGGGTTTCAAACATTTGATAATGTCAATGGAAAAATTAAGGCAGATATGTCCTTGTTTTTAGTATTTCACCCTGATTTACGACACCCTGATTTATTGTTTTTATACACTACTCTTATTTGTACTGCATTTTTTACTGTACTTTATTGTCGTCTGTACTTTATATGTGCTGTCTGGAACAGATCTCTCTTATCACCTTGTGGCTCAATGAGACTAGCCTGTATAAATAAAGGTTGAATGAAAAAAAAAAAAAGTAAAATGAATAAATGATATTTTTATCCAACAGTTTCCTAAAGTCAAGTAGCTGTGGAAGCAATTTTAAAATGGTTTGACTCCAAATGGTAATCAGTGGTAGATCCATTTATTGCTGTCGGAGAGTTTCATTGAAATTTATAAAAGTTGAGATATTTTGCTAACAGACAAACAGGGTTGCCTCAGCCATTTAATGTCAAGGTTTTAGTTTTTTCATTATGTGTCCCACACAATATGTTTTGAGGATAACGCTCAGCTACAACCACTTTAACTCAGTTTCCTAATATTTTCAGCACCTCAAACACATAGTTCCCATTTCTTCCCAAAAGTATTGATAAATTAAACAAACATACAAATACAAGAGAAATGGTGAGATGAAACTAAAAGCATAAAGTACGTACCTTTATGTACAGTAAGATTTACAGAAGTATAAGTGTCAAGTCCAAGCCTGTCCACTCCACACCTGTACAACGATGAGTCTGACAGCTGAAGGTGGCTGATATTTACATCGAAGGCTCCGTTCCCCAAATCCATCAAAGTTATTCTTCCTAACACAGCTCGGTGACCAGATGCCACGATAGCGAGAACGTCTCCACTGTTGCACGGTTCACTGCAGAAGTATTTGTTGTTTTTGACAGCCAATCTGTGGGAGCATCGGAACAAGACGTCTCCACCTTCAAATCCCTTCACGTTGATTTCAGCATTTTGAACAAGCGCCACTGCAAACAAGACATCGTGTTATCCAGCGTCATCACTATTAGCATTAGTAGAGGTCTTGAATCAATAAAAACTTCCATGTCTGATTTAAAAAGGTTTTTTTTTTTTAACTCACCTGTAAAAAGACAAAAGAAGACAAACGCGTTTTTCATTTTCACCAGCGAAGACGTAGCTTTGAGGCTCCGGTTGAATCTGTATCTGAAGTGTGGGAACAGACCTGATACAGGCCAGAATAGTACGGGGGCCGCTTGAGGTCAGGTAATATATACAATTCTCTCTTGTTTACGCATTTTGAAGTCTGTAAAAATAAATATGTTGTTTAATTCTGACATATCATGTGTGTTCCTTCCAAGCAAACACCCCAGGCGGGGGAGAGGAGAAGATATTTGTTTCATCTTACAAATGGGGGCTCGTCCGGGAACCGATGTGAACTATAATTTAACTTTATAATTAATCTTATTTAACTGAACAAGAACCTTTGAGGTTGTTTTGTTTTCTCATTAAAGGCCTTATAAGGAACTATTTTCCTACTGACAGCAGAAAGTGTCATGGTTGATTTTAAAAGTTAGCAGTCACTAAAAAGATATTATTTATCAGCTTATGGCCCAGTTTACACATATGACATATATTCTAGTCATCTTTATATGATCTATTTTCCATAATTCATTATTAAACATTATATTCACCTACCCACAGATTTGCTGAATGCTAACTATGCTATATGGCAGTCCAAGCTTTTCATCAAAAAATATTCGACACCATTTACTGTCCATAATATACACACTGTTAGTGTAAATATAAGAAGAGAACCAGGGCCACAGACATCTTTTCTATCTTCTACTGTACTCGTGCTTCTTTCGATGGCCCATTCAGTGTGTCGCGATGACAAGAACGTCAGCGGATGTGCGCAGCTGTGCCCAGCCGGTTGAAAAATGTAAAAAAACATATTTTTTTTTAAGTCCAGATGGCTCACTGCCAGCAATTCACCTGAAGCTTAACTGGACTGGATCCAGCCCCCGTGCCAGCAGGCGGTGGTGGATTCCCTGTTTTTAGTTTTATTTTATTTAATCCACCACCGCCCACCTCCTGTTTTTAGTTGTTGTTTTTTTTTTTACGTGCCGCACGTTTCTTTCACTTTTGTAGCTTAATAAAAGTTTTGGTTTTCCTGTGACTTATTTGTATATAATAAATGGTAGGAGCATAAATATATGCTCCTGATGTTTAGTTGTTCACTTTTATTGTAAATAATAAATTACTTTTTTTTTTGTGAATATAGCACAGCGACTAGTCGATGGCGACTCGACTTTTATCATGTCGAAGTTGACTTTAAAAAATATGAAGTTGTGCAACCCCTAGTTCATTCAACCTTTACTTATACAGGTTAATCCCATTTGAGCCTCGGGGACTCATTTACAAGAGAGACCTGAATTTTAACAAAGAGTGATGACAACAATGGACACCAACAACACCAATAGACAATCATAAAGGATGCGTACAATTTATTATTATTGTTTTTTTTAACAAGTAATAATAAAATAGTAATTAAAAGGATAATTAAAAGGAAAAGTAGCAAAAAGTAGTAGTGAATGCCATTTTGTTTGTTTAATAAAGTTTTAAAATGTCAAGAAAAAACTTTATTATTGATATAAGTGCAAGTCAAAATTTATGTTTGAATAATTAATCTACATTAATATTGATAAGGAGACATTTTTGATTGGTTGGTTAAAACAGGAGAGGAGAGGGGATTTGTAATAAATTACGCCCTAAAAGGCCTCTCACAGTTAAGCTTTTGGACAGGCATAGAGTCACAGTTCTCTCAGTACCTCTCTCGTTTGCCTTAAAGTTTTTCTTTTGTTAATACTTGTAATTTGTACATGTATCATTTGTGCTTTTTCATTTTTCATATAAACAGTTCAAACTTAAACATTGTGTTCAGGAGGATGTTTTTCGTCTGGAGACGGATAAAAAGAGGAAGTATGGAACGTCAAGCTAGTTTTTTAGAAACCTACAGTGGAGGTTGAATGAAACTCACCCTGTATGTTTTTTCCTCAAATCTACCCAGGGTGCAGAGCGACCACACATTTTTCTGCTTTGTCCAATATCAGAATTTTCTCTCCAAACCTGGAAGTGAAGTGTATTTTTAACTTCTATATGTGAAACACTGCACACACATAAAACTTGACATGTGTAACCATCAGGGCCTTCCACTACTTTCAGGTCAGATGTGTTTTCTGTACATTTTTCACAAAGTGATCATCTGAGGCTTACTTTCTAGGCTGTGTTTCTGTCTGCCTGTTTCAAGAGCGTGGTCTGTGAGTGAGACGTGTGGTTAACATGGCGACACTATGAGCATAACATTTTGTTTTACCTTTTTTTTTTTACTTACTGTACAGTCTTTAGATTATAAAATTACACACAGATCTGAGATGAGTTGCATTTTGAATAAAATCCTTAAGAACCTTTGTGTTGTTTTTGTCAATTAGACATGTAGGTCTTATGTGCATAGTGCCCCCTGCAGGTATTTTTGCAACATACTTTAAATTCTTCAAGTAGAATCTAAACATCACAGTGCTGCCAAACGTGCAGTATGAACTGATTTTTATATTTCAACTTCCTGTCTGCAGATGAAATAACGCACAAAGAATCCATATTCCAACATTTGTTCTTTATTCACTAAAAGGACAGAAAGTAAAGCGGGAATAGCTGAAAAAAGCTGCTCGAGAACAGAGCGATCGGAGCTCAGTCGATGGTTTTTGGATCCAGTCCTTCGTAAACAGAGGCGTACTGAGCGTCATCGTCAGCAGTGGACTCTGGACCATCCTCCAAAGGCTGAAGACTCACTGCCACCTGAGTGGAAGCAGCAACTACACTTTCCTCATGATGACCATCCTGTGAAAAAAATAGCCATTATCTTAATTTTGTATTTGTACAATTAAAAGTACTTGAATAAATACTAGAAATTCACCTCCGCTTTGTTTGCCGCTCGTCTGTTCTGACCTGAAACAAACAAGGAGAACGGTTCATTTCGAGGTGTGACGCCGGTTTGTTTGGGAGTTCCTTTGTGCTGCTCACCTGCGTTTCTCTGCCAGAGTCTGTAAAATAGAAGAGGAATGACGGCACAGACCAGACAAGCCAGGCTTCCAGAGACAAAAATGACCAACTTGGTGTCTGCAAACAACAGAAGCTTACGGTTATCATGCAGTAAAGTCAGAACATCGATCACGTCTCAGTACATTTTTCTGATCAGTGTCCCACTGAGTTCTGCTTTTATCTCATAAACCTGAATTACATCTTTACACGAATGTGGAAGTACCTGTCAAACTGTTTGCTTCTTCCTGGATTTCCGTCCTCCCTGAAGGGAGAAGCGTGAGTGTTACTGGTGAAGCTGATGGAAAGCTGCCTTCAGGCTGAGCTACTTCCTCTGCCTTCAGGCTGGTTTTAGGGGACGGAGGAGCTGCAAGAGGAACTCTGGGAGCTTTGAGCCAACAAGAAAAGGTACGCCTTATGAATGATACGTTCTGTATATACTGTATATATGCATGTGCTCGTGTGATATTGTTTCTGTGTGTAAACCAGTGAACTTCTAATGAGACTTTAATTAAATAGTGTTTTGGACAGCGTATCTCTTAGAGCCTTGACTCACACATACCTGTACATGCCAATGCAAGCTTACAAATATTCAGTTATTCTGCTGCCTCACAAAGAACTGTATCTGCTTTGACACCTTTAAAATAACATCTAAACCCAAAGCGTACCATTGACAATATTCAGATTGACTTCCTGGTATGAGATGTTAGAGCTTCTCCTCAATCCACAGAGATACCTCCCAGCGTCAGCCCTCCTCAGCCTCTTTATAGTCACAGTCCAAACTCCATGTCCACCATTGAACTCCATACTGTATCTCCCCCGTGGCAGAGCTGACCTCTTCGTCTCGGTCTGGATGTTGGAGTTCTCACTAGAGCAGGTGCCTTTGCAGAAGAACATGCTGATGTTTTCTGGGCTGTTAGCGGTCCAGCTACCAAAACAAGGGATGGAGACCTTTTCACCAACATGGCTGCTCACCTCCAGGATGTCTGAGGCCTCTGTACACACGACTGAAGGACAAAACAACGATTGACACAAACGTATGTGTTATATACTGAAGAGATGTATTTACTTTGTCATTACAGGTTTGCTCGTTGTGCTAATGAACTGTTGCATAATCGTTTTAAAGGAATTCTTCATACAATGCAGTAAAACTGACCAGCCAAGCTATTGTGCAGGACCAACTTTAATTTTGATTACAGATCCTATTTGGCGAGGTGATTTTGCAGAACAGTGCACAAAGTCACAGCGTTTATTGTTGGAGTTGCATTAATTAAATTAAAAAAAAAAAAGATTTTCATGGAGGTTATCTGGACTCAGCTGTTGTCAATCCATTTAAATGATGTTTTATCAATGGTGGAGAAAGTACTCAAACACCGTACTTAAGTAAAATTACAAAAAAATTGACAAAAATGTACTCCACATTAATGTTTTTACTTAATAAAAGTAAGTACTTGCTTTTAAAAACACTTAAAGTATTAAAAGTAAATGTATTACCTAATGCAATTACAATATCATTATTGTAATTGCATTAGTTAATACAATACTGAGCCATTTTAATGAACAAAGCTGCAGATAGTACATGTTTTTATTGTGTTTACTCTGTGACACTGTTCGCACTTGGGCTTGTGATTCTGTGCATCAGAATTTCAGGGATGACCTGCAGAGTTAAATGACATTAAACAAAATAAGAAAGAGGAATGATTATACCTTTGAAAGCTTTTATTTAACACAGAGTAAAACCAATGTGTCATTTTAACTGCAGTAAACACATTTAAGTAAAAGTTGTCTGCCTGAACAAAAGGAGCATTAGACCTAACAAATGAATAGATACTGATCATTTCAACTCCAGTTTGTCATCAACTCTAATTAATTAAAACACTGTCTTGTCAACCTTGTAATGGGTCAATAGTGAACAATATTTTAACTTCCTGACACCATTTTTAAAACTTGGACCCGAGTGTCGAGACATTTGGAGACATCTCACGTCTCCTAACATCCCGTGAACTGACACATTTTAATACTGCAGCAAGAATTTCTTGTTCAAGTTCAGAAGAAGTTGGTTTTCAAAGTTTTTTGAGTTCATTGGTTACTTTCAAACTAACGAACAAATCAAAAAAAAAAAAAATGCAACATGGATGTAACTTGTAATGCAACATATTATAGAAATGTAGTGCAGTAGAAAGTACAGCTACTTAATGTAAAATGTAGGGGAGTAAAAGTAAAAAATACCCATGTTTAACTCAAGTAAGAGATACATGAACATTTTTTACTCAAGTACAGTACAAAGTACTTGTACTTTGTTACATCCCACCACTGTGTTTTATTAATTACTTTTGCTCAGTCTGAGCACAATAAATTCAGGCATTGTAATCCCATATAGGATGTTTAAGAAACCGCCCCGTGGTTGTTTAGGGGGAATAAAGCTCCTCGTTGCATCAGCCAGAGTTAAATAACTTGTAACCAGATCAAACGAATCAGTGCGTTAGTTTTTTCAACAGTTCTTGCTTAGGTGGGGAGTTTGGGTTTTCTTTTTGGTGAAGCGATGTCTACACATTCAGGGTGAACTACTATTACAGCTGGAAAGTTAAGAGTCTTGCACAAAGTTTCCATTTTTAAAGCCTAGCCCTGCAGCTTTTCGAGAAAACCGTCTTTGTTGCAAGAACAGTCACTTGTCCACGAAACGAACAAATTAAACGTCAAGAACATCATTAAACTATCCCCAATCTTCAGAGTTTACTCCTTTATTTTTTGTTTCTTATTTATCATAGTATAAAATACTAAAACCTTTTCAATCTCCTTTATTTTGACTTCGATACATGTATGTATTGGCGTTTAATATTTTCTAGCTTACAGTAAATTACATAAAAAAATTTAAATATCTGAATGAAATACCACTAAGCTGCAGTTTGCATTAACACCTCTTTTTTAAAGTTGTTCTGTTAATAAATGGTCAGAAGCGTATTGTTGAAAACATCTGGATGTTATCCATGTTAGTTGTTTGGTTGAAAATGTGTTTGGAGGGTCAGAGCATCACTGACCAACTTCTGATCAGTTTCCTCTTGTGCTCGTGGAACCATCGTGACTTAATTGACGTCTTATCAATATAAAATGTTAAAACCTAAGTGCAGTTGCAGCTGTGTGGATGATTTTGGATTTGTACAGAACCATTTTTACGTTAAGAGTTAAATGGGCTTCTAAGAGTAAAAAAACTAAATTCTAATTTTTCTATTTTATTTTGCAACGTCCATGTTGCCAATAATAATTCAGACCGATCTGCATTATTTGTAAAGTTGACTGCTTATAAACTACAACCTAATTCTGGCTGCTCATAAATCATCTTTTTTTTTTTGGTAAAAACAAACATATATGGAATTGTTTACGGTTTAGAGATCAATAAATGTGTACTGCAGACAAGCTTCATGAGCAGGAACATCATGCAACCATCATATTCAAACACTAACTGGAGTGTGTTTTGCAGAAACGTACCTGAGAAGCAACAAAATGTGACCAGAAGAGTTTTCATCCTTTCATCCGAGGTCAGAACAAAACGTTAGCATAAATCTTTGGATTTAATGCCATAAAACTCTTAAAAGATCAAGATAAAACAGGTCAACGGAGCGAACGGTGTAACTTGTGGCAGCAGCTCGTCATCCGTTGGTCTCAACATGAAACGGGCATGGTTCAAATCCCTATTAGCTGCTATATTGTCCAGAAAACCTACAGCACATGGCTGTCATCTCCTCATCATTTTCTTTTTCGTTCAGTTGGAGAGAAGCAGCTCATGACTGAACTGGGCTATAAAGTCCTCAGTGTTCGTTTTAGAGTTCCCCAGCAGCGTGTGCCTTCGAACATCTCCAGCACATTCAGCTGGAGGGCGTGAGAATCAATGAGCAGTTTGTCTGCAGACTGTCACGGGTATCTGAGGGCAACCTGAGGACTCTGTTACAGCACGACGGCACAAAATTAGGCTTATTTTTTAATTTATTTAAAAAAAAAAAAGAAGACGACGGACATAAAATACAGATATGTAAAGTAAGCTGCTCATCACAAACAATGATGAGTCCAGCTACAGGCAAGAGGTGAACACCTGGAGAGCTGGTGCAGAGAGAATAACCTTCACATCAATGTGAAGAAGACAAAGGAGATGATTGTGGACTTCAGAAGGAACAAAAACA